AGAGTTTTTGTCAAATGATTTATAATATAGAATATTTTTTTTATATAATTTAATTTAAGTTTAATAATAAAACAATTTATTTTTGGTTTAATATTATAAATTTTATAAAGATAATAATTAAGTATTATGTTAGAATTTAATGATTATACTAATTATATTTTAGATTTTTTATATTTAAAATGAAATATTTATCCTGTATTTGATTGTGTTTATCTGCAGTTAATTACACGAATTCAGATATGTGATGAAATCGGATAGGGATGAAATTGTTTAGGGATGAACGGGTTTAATAGTTTTAAGAGTTTTTAAGAGTTTTAGTCAAATGCTTTATAAGATAGTATAGATGAGCAATGGCTCATGAAAGCGAAGGCACATTCAATGATGGAAATGATGAATAGCTTTTTATGTGAAAAAAAATTAAATCGATCTTTTCACAACCAAGACCTAACACCTTCATCACTTTATATTAAGACCATTGAGCTCTCTTGGGTACCATCGAACATAATCGAGCATCGTTTTTTTATCTAAGTTTACTACATAGACGAATATAACAGGTCTAAGAAAACCTAAAGAAATACATAAAGACATTCACATATTTACTCAAAATAGTAGTGCACTAATTTTTGGTGTTGGTGGTTTTGAGTTTCGGTTTAGTCTTGTAAGTTTTGATTTCAAGTCAATAAATATCGAGAAAGAAGATATGAAAGAATTAGGGGGAGAGAAAGACTAAGAGGTACATTAAACTTGGAACACATTTTTAGCAGTTATGAAGCTACATTTTGTATACTAAACAGACATACTCCTTTTTATTTCATTCTAATTATATATGTGGTCAAACCTAATTCAATTATATGTCAATTCTTCTACTTCCATTCTTTTCAGATATTCCAATAATTCAAAAATTGTTATGTGAATCAAACGCTCATATACCTTCCTTCTCTAAACGAATTCAAACTTTAATTTGACATACATACATACAACCATACATACATGCATACATGCATACATATATGGAAGGGTTCAAACGAGAACACCTTCATTTTACGAGAACGCGAGAATACCCTTTTAGTATAGACAATCACATGTGATACTATTATTCCATCACATGTGATACACATGTGATACCAAATCAGAAACGCGAACGATTTTTTATGCGATCTTGGTTGCGGGCCAAGTCACCCTTACACCATTAAGCCCCCTCACAAGTATTATCACATAGATAAGGTTGTTGTTGATATGATACTATAATCCATCAAGGCCATCACATGTGATGCTAAATCATAGATGCAGATCCGCACATCACAGGGTCCCCTCAAGCGTATTATCACATGTGATAAGGGTGTTCTTGTAAAATGGAGGGGTTCTCGTTTGAACCTCCACCTATATATATATATATATATGTGTGTGTGTGTGTGTGTGTGTGTGTATAGTATTCCCTTAGTTCTGATTGTTATCACATTACTTGGTTAGGAGGGTGTTCTCGCATTCTTATAAATTACAGGGGTTCTTGTTTGAACCTTTCCCTATATATACAAACGAGAACTCTTGTGATTTACATGAATGCGAGAACACCCTACTAACCAAGTAATGTGATAACAATCAAAATTAAGGGATTTTTTTATTTTAAAATAATTCAAAAAGTTTTGAGAGGCAGAAGGGTGATCTTGGAATTCGAAATGATAAAATTTTAAAAACACGATCAGAAAAGACCCCAATCATTTGGAAACTAATAACATCATGAGTTATAGTGGTTATCTTGGTTATCTAGTAGACAACATAGAAAGAAGGTGTCATAAGTTTTAAGAAGACAAGAGGAAGAAATCGAACAACAAGAAGATTGATGGAGAAGTATGCAGAGACAGTTGATTCAAGGTTTGCTTATCACTAATTTATCACACTTAGAACATGAATAGTTCACAGTCGCTCTATTTAAAGATTGTTTGGTTCGATTAGGGTATGAGTATCACACGATTATCACAAGAATGTTGACTACAATATATCAGTTCGACTAGGTTTAACTTATCTACTCGATTCGAATTTTGAGTGTAATAATCATGTGATACGTTAACCCAATGACGAATCGAGTAGCAAACGGTTTTCACAGGATACGATTCGTATTTAGGTTCGTCTATAATATATTCGATTCGATTAGGTTTCACAATCACACTATTATCACATCCCAATCGTGTATAGATTATCAGACGATCATCACCTAATACGACTGCAATTTGTTCCGTATCACAACCATGTTGATTATCACAGGATTACACCCAATTACGACTGCAATTTGTTCCGTATCATAACCATGTTGATTATCACAGGATTATACCCAATTAAGACTGCACACATTGTTTGGTTTAATCAGGTTCATGTATCACACGATTATCACACCGTTATCATACCCAATAGATACAAAATGACTGTAATTGAAAATTTGGTAGTTGTATAGATTAGCCCCATCAATTATGACACTGGTATCATATGATTATCACACTGTTTATAGTTTATGTTGAGAATTCAGGTTTATCATCTTTCGCATTTTGAACAATTTCGTGCTTATTTGTTTCTGCTTACTTTGGTTTCGACTTAATTTTGTGGGGTTAATGGTTTGACAAATCTTATATATATATATATATATATATATACATCTTTGAGGTGAATAGTTTGACAGACCTTCTAGTAAACCGATCACATTATGCTAACCAAACTAATATCAAATCGGATCACATGTATACAGTAAAAGGAATGAAACATGTATCACACTTTTATCACAAGATTATCACACTTTCAAGTACCCTTTATCACATGTAATAGAAAATCTATATCATACACCAGACGCTCACAACCCATTCAGAAAAAGCTATAGAATTATAGAAGTTTACAACAATACAAATCCTACCATCATCATCATCATAAATATCTTCAGATAAACTGTCTTCATAAAGACAGTCTTCAGAAAACCCCCTAGAATTGTCATTCGAATAATCATGATGATCACTTAATCCTATACAAGTTTTTTACCTATAGCATTTGAATCCTCCGTTCTAGGTGAAAAAAGAATTGGATGCTTCGAATATCAAGATTTCGAATCTTTGGATACAATGGGAAGAAAAGGATGGAAGAAAAGGATCGACGTTCAGCTTAACATGATTGATCCCAAGCTAAAATGATGGGATAATTCTAACTAATTAAATAAGATAATAATTATAAAAATATCTAATTACATTATTACCAATATTGATTTATTTACATTTAATATAACTTAAATTAATGGTTAAAATTTAAAAATGTTTTGAGGCCTACAAGTATTCATGCATTCTCGTAAATCATAGGCATTCTCGTTTGAACTTTCACCTATACATATACATACATACATATATATACACACACACATACACACACATAGAGAGAGAGATAGAGAGAGACGAATGATTGTGTAGAAGTGTAAAAAAGGATATGGATCATTGATCATTTTTAATCTCACTCCACCTAATTAATTACGTTTGATACATGAATAATCTGGTACATCTCGATGCATCTCATTGTCATTGATCTCTTCTTACCTTTCTCGCTATAACTTCCATCGTGGCCGAAACTCAAGTACTTAAATCATGGTTAGATGAGAAAAAAAAAATATAAACTTAAATTAAAGATAGAAAATCAAGTAATAACTAATAATTAACAAAAAGTAAAACTTTGATTGAAAATTTAACCAAAAATTGTAGATTCTTGTACAACTCAAAAAGAAAAATATTCCAATTTTTCGACACAAGGAATACATTTAAAAGTGAGTAAAGTTTTAGAATATTGGTTTCATGTTCAAATTTTATATATGAAAATATAAATATATTTTATATGGGGTTTTAGTTAAACTTTTAGATCAAATAAGTTTGAAAAAGAATACAAAAGGGGTTAGAGGGTTATGGCATCCAAGGTGAAAACAAAATTTGGGAAAAGGAGATGACAGTAAATCTCCATCCCACTTTTGACCATTCCCATAAGGATTTCCCCCATACATTCTCTGCAAAAAGCATTTCTTTCTCGCTTTTTTAACAATATTATTTCCACCCTTTTGAAATCAAAATCATCTCATCTCAAATTATATATTAAAAATGTAAAAATAAATAAATTTAATGTTGATATATATAAAAAAGAAAATACTAGATAGGAATATTTAACAGTCTCTCCCTACTATTTAGAGGAGAGGAGGCTAAATGCATTCTTATACATAAGATAAATAATTTTATTTTTTACATTTTTAATGTATGAAATTAATTCTAAAATAAAATAAAAATAGGTCTAAATATTACCCCTTTATTTGCAACTTAAAAAATGTTTTGAGATAAAGTATCTCACAATTTAGGCGATCTGAATGTGTTGATTTCTTCCAGTTTGGAGTTCCAAATGGCTGAATGAACGATTATGAAAAAGTTGCGATCAGAAAGAACAGAGGAAGGTTGGAAAGTGGGTATTACCAAAATAAACCTTCTTATTGATAGCAACACATATGCATATACCTGGAGTGACAAAGAACACTCGTATTTCTAAAAATAAACATCATAATACATGTGTTTCCATGAAAATCCGTTTTGAAATTATTATGTATCACATCAAGAGTAACAACATCCAGTTGGCTTTTCCTTTTCAATCATAATCACTTCCAACTCCATCAGAATTATAATCCAAAATTCTCATAACCCTTGGCAAATAGAGATTGGATGCAAATTTTGAAAACCAAAAATTAGTAGTACCACTCTGTTATTGTAATTATTTCTGGAAAGTTATCTCTACATTTTCCAAAAACAAGATCAAAATTTACTCAGGAATTGTCACCAGTACAGGCCTCCATGCTCGTCTAAGTAACCGCTGCCGTAACGTCCCCGGCAATGCCCTAAGTCCCCTCGAACCACCGCGCCGGCCAATTAGATCAGCATCATCGCCGCTCCACCGATTCGTTTCTTCTCCACCGTCACGTCCGCTCTCGCCAAGCGTCGATGGCGGCGGCGGCGACGAAGACGACACAAACAAGTCCTTTAACTTTCGCCTTGCACCACTATCCTTCTCATCCTCCGACGAATCAACATCGCTTCCCCTCCGATCTACAAACTCATTAGTCGGAGGCAACCGCCGTGTTCCGCCGCCGCCGCGACTCAGCAACATCCGTAGCGTCTTCCTTCGACGGAGGTGAATGACAGGGCTTGTAGATGGACTACGAGTCGGACTTCCGGCAACGGCACATTGTGTTGCTAACATCTTAAATTTCTGCATCGTGGCCATTGATTCCGATCTAACAAAGGTTTAGGAAAACGAAATTCTTTGTATAACTGTTGAAATTGATTGAAAAATGAAAAAAAAACGTGGATTAATTATGAAAGAAAAACCTAGATCTGAGATGCTTATCTTGTGATCTAGCCATAGGCATGGCCATAACCATACTCATAACCATAAACATCGGTAGTATAGATTCTTTGTTTTTTCTACACACTTTCGAATTGGTAAAGACGATGAGAGAGAAGGATTAAAAGAAGCGAACGAAAGCAATGGTTACAGACGGCCAAGTTAAAGTGACAGGTGATGATACCGACTAATTTATAGTCTGCAACAACTATGACACGTGGACCACAAAACGTAGTCCTATCCCCTGGGTCCCGCCGTAGGTAAATACTTACATGTTATCTCCTGTTTTTCAAAATAATTATACCTTTACTACAAATTTATTTATTTTTCGTAACAAGTTAATGTTGACCGGCGTAATAATCGATACAGACTTTTGATTATATTGAAATATTGTTTATTTACTTTTTAATAGTTAGGGGCTGTTTGGTGGTTGGTGAATGGTTTGATGCAGAATGGTTAAGTGATTAGAATGGTTAAGAGGACCAGAATGGTTAAGTGCTGAATGAAATAATGTTGTTTGGTAACTGTTCTCTGAATGACAACAAATTACCATTTTAACCCTCTGAATGATTTAGTACTGAATGAAATAGAGCTGTTTGGCAGAATCTGAATAGAACAATTATTTTGCAAATATAACTACATATTTCATATTAATCCAAACAAATGTAACATTATTAGTGCAAACAAACATAATTTTTCAATATCATCTTCAACCACAAATGCAACTTGATAAGGTCCTACTTTCAAATGCAAACTCATCATTGGAAGCAGGCCACCATGCTTCCAACCACTGCGCCTGCAGCCCAACGTTATCGGTCCGGTAATGCACCATCTTCTCCCCAAACCTCCACTCAAATCCATCAACAAAATCGAGAATCAGACGAGATTCATTCAGTTTCTGATCCAAATACTCATCCTTTTGATCCAAAACCTTGAAGTGATCAATGAATATATGTATATTCGTAAGTAACGACTTTGATTGTGAGTGAGAAATTAGGGTTTTGGAAATTGTTTACATTTGTATTCGTGAGTGGGAATTGAGTCATGGGAGGAGACAAGGGCAGAACAGCTCATAATCAATTCATCAACAAGAAATCGACATTAACTGAACAAAATCCGAAACCTAATTTCGCAACTCAATAAAACAGATTTGAGAAATTGAACACAGCAGCAAGGGGGTTGTGGAAGGCAGAAGAAGGAACGAGGGTGGGAGGAACGATCGACACAGCAAACCCCTTTGAATCAACTCGTGGAAGGCGACAGCAGCATTTCGGGAGAGGCATCAACTCATGGGAGGAGACGAGATCGATTGGAAGGAGGAAGGAGGGTGGGAGGGGTGGGAGGAGCAGCGGGCTGTTGCCTGTTGAAGTTTGAGGAGAGGGCAAAAATGGAAGAAGATCCCTCTGAATCATTTAGGGGAGCCCTAGCCCCTAAATCGTTAAGAGCCTTTTGTAACCATTAAGAGGTTCTTTTTTTTTTNGAGGTTTTTTTTTTTTTTTTTTGCCAAACAACCATTACCTCTTACCGATTAAGAGGTTGACTCTTAATGTCACCGAGCCAAACAAACAGCCCCTTATATTAAGAGATAGTTACTGAATCGTTAAGAGTTGAATCTTGTTTGATAAAAAAAAAATCTCTCCTAATGATTTTGTATTATGGGTCTTTCTTAACCATTTAACGCCTTAATTTCATTGTAAACAATTACCAAATAATTATATTTTATTTTACAGTATATCATGACAGACTCTTAATCATTCTGCACCAAACCATTTAACAACTGCTTAATCTCATTCCACCTCATTAATTGCACTTATCATGGATTGATTCGATACATATCGGTTCAACAAATTAGTGTTGATCTTCTATTAGAATTGACATAAGGATGAAGATTTTTTCTTACCTTTCTCACTATAACTTTCATTATTATCGGAACCAAACCTAAAGGGTATTGTGATGAATCAATTCAAATCTGTCTTAAGTTAGATCGCCTATTCAAGACATTTTTTATAAGTAGTATTTCAATTTTATATTTGTTTTAGGTATCACAAAATTACTCGATGATATTTTAAACTTACACTTTGTTTTTAAGCAGAAAACGAGAGCAAAAAAACACAATGATTTGTTAAGTTGATATATAAAATGAGAATGAAAGCAGTTACAATGGTTACATAACAGCTGTGGAAATTCAGTGTTAGCATCAATGCGAAGATACCCACTGATTAGCACATTGAAGATATATTAGTGCCACTGAAATACCACTGCTAGGGGGGCTACCCCTTGATCCCTGCCATACGACAACGTCAGACAATTTCATGTTCAAGTTAGTTTATACTAATGTACACTCTTCACACTTCCACCTATAGTATAGCTTATTAGAAACCCTTTTCATTCTTTTGTAAATCCAATCACACCAAATTGTCTAATGACACTAAAATTACCAACACATCCATACTTTAACTAGTAATTGCTATTGAGTATATGCAAAAGTAAGTGAAGCCATGAGAAAGATTTCTTTGGAGTAGGTAATAGCCTAACGAAACGCTAACTTTTGCAATAGATTCTTTACAACAATTGTTTTTTCAAGGTGAAACTACCTTTTTTATTTGCAGGTAAGCAAGGATGCAGTGACTAGGGTCGGTTCGGGTGAGCCAAGGTCCTAGGGGAGGACAATGTTTTTGTGTTCTTAAAATGTTGATACACATAGATCTTGGTCGTCTATTTTAACGAGAGATTAGTATAGATTGGTGATGATCTCATTTGACATAATATACTTCATAGTGCACTTCTTAGCTCTCATGAAAAGCTCTTTCAAGTAATTAAACTTCCATTTGTGTTCATACTTGTTTTTTTTGTAACATTTGATATTTACATCAGCTTGTGTAGTTGTGTTATCTTAAACATTGATTGTTTAAGCTTTGTTAATTTAATTCGAGAACTAAAACCACATGAGTTTGTTTGTAGAGACAAGTCTGTCACAAAATACTATTGTTTCATTTCTGCAATAAAAGAAAAATATTTTAAAGAAAATATAAAAGAAATATTGCTTCTAATTGAAATGGATGATGGCTCTTAATTGTTACAAAATAAAAGAGCTGTTTATCAATCAATAACTCATTCAAAGCGCTATCAATTGTTTGACAAAATTCAATGTAGGTTTTCAATGAGAAGCAATGGATCTAACTGCAATTTAAATTCATTTGTAAGATACAAGTATTCAGTTTAATCCCGTTTCATTTGGTCACAACAGTTAAGTAGTCTAAATACAAGACAAGTCCTCAGTTTAACCCCCGTTTCGCTTAGTCACAACAGTTGAGTGAGTTAAAAAGCGTCCTCATAATCAACCTTTTTTCCAAGTATATTTATGAGCCGACTAATTTCATGACGACCAACAGGTAGCCTGGAGTCATCGCATTTGAACCTCCATGGCCATAAGGAGATTTTTGTTCCTCCTTCAATTTGAACCTTGAACCTCCGGACACTTTTAATATTTGGAGCTCTAGTTCAAAACAATCCATTATGGTTTATAAACATTCTTTTAAATTTGAATACATAGTTACTAATAAAATAGCAAATGGAACCATGTAAATTTTAAGGAAGAACATATCAATTAACTTCAGGGAAATCAAGATTTTGTCGCATGGAACTCAACACCGGCTCGGCGTGGCTCTCAAGTCTCAACCAAGTTGCCGGTAGCCCCTGAACCAGAAGAAGGCGGATTACTACCGTCATCCACCACAATGTCAACCACCTCTTGTTTTTGCACATTCAACTCCTCTTTCTGTATCCCTCTTAAATTCTCCACCACTTCTCTCATCGTCGGCCTCATATCCTTCTCATGTTGCAGACACCGGAAACCCAACTCCGCCACCAACGTCGCCATCCGCCTCACCAAACCATCCCTCTCGAACCCAATTCTCCTGTCAACCAACTCATCCAACCTACGGTTTTGGATCCTGTCAACAGCCATGTTAGCCAAGTTAATATCATGCCTGTGTCTGCTCGTGTCCACGGCTTGTAACGACGATAGGAGCTCCATTAACACCACTCCGAAGCTATAAACATCACTCTTATCTGTCAACCGATAGCATTGGTAGTACTCGGGATCCACGTAGCCCGGCGTCCCTTGTGGCGCGGTGGAGACATGGGTGGCGTTGAATGGAAACAATCTGGACAACCCAAAATCAGCAACCTTCACTCGGAAACTCTTATCGAGGAGAATGTTGCTGGTTTTCACGTCGCGGTGAATGATGTCGGACTCGTGGAGGTACGCTAATGCTTCAGCTGTTTCTATTGCGATATTGAGCCGTAATGTCCAGTTAGGCCAATGACCAGATACTGAATTCGAGTTGGCTAGTTTTCCGTGAAGATGATCGGCTACTGTGCCGTTGGCAACGTACTCGTAAACTAGGAGGAGTTCTCGGCTTCGTCTTGAAGTGCATCCATAAAATTTCACAAGGTTTTCGTGATCCATCATCGTTATGATTTCGACCTCGTTCATGAACTGCTCCACCCGCTTGAAACTGTTCTCATATAGGCGCTTCACTGCGACTTCTCGACCATCCACGAGCTTACCGTAGTAAACAGTTCCAAAACCACCATCTCCAAGTTCTCTTGAATCATCAAAACCATCAGTTGCTGCTTCCAGTTCGTTATAATTAAATACACGAGTGCCGAAATAGCTGCTGTTTCCAAACTCTGTTGTTGTTGAGGAAGTATAAGAAGTGATGGTGGCCGGAAAATCCGTAGCAAGTCCTTTGATTGAAACAGCGGTCACACTTTCTTTGTTCTCAGCTGTTTCATCTTCTCTGATAGCTTGCCTTTTCTTCCGCTGTCTGCAAACAAACAATCCCAAGCCGATGCCAATGGCAGCAAGAATCCCACCTGCAATCGGAAGGGCTAGAATCCGAAGAAAAGGAGTCAAATTTGTGAGCAAATTCCAGGTTTATGATTATGTAGTTGCCACTACAACAAAATCAGTTTTATAATACAAATAATAGGTCTAAATGTACTACTACTTTATAGGATTTAAGTTCACTAGCCAAACAATAATGTATAACTGTTTGATCATATAAAGTCTATTTGAAGTAATATTTATTTAAGTGTGCAGGTTGTAACTTGTACCTATAGTCAGGGACCTCTCTTTTGGTGAGGAACTGGCTCGGGTTGTGTTAGCCATGGTGCAAATATTTGTGATCGAAGGCGAACCAGGGCAAGCACACGAGGTTCTATTCGTATCATAATTGTAAAAACAGCTGCCGCCAGACTGGGTGCACCGGCTGCAAGCTGTTGCATCCAGCTTCCACCTGACCTCAAATCCTCCCCGGAGAACCTGACTCAAACCAGTTGAATTTACCAATCCTGTGGATCCGATAGCCGTAGCAGGAACAGGGATGATCACACTCTCTTTACAGATTCCAGGGCCTTCTTCTCCGGGCAAAACCAGAACTTTATCGATCCCATTCTCATCACAAGAGAACTGGTTAAGATGAACTCCAGGAAGATTGAAAGACTCTGGACATCCATAGAGGAAAGTGAGATTTGTGTAAGTTGAGAAGTGGTCGAAAAGCTGGTCATCAATGGTGGTGTTGACAAAATCATGTGGACAGATCGACTCCATTACATCTTCTCTAACGATCTTCAAGATCTGGGACGATTGATCGATGCTGAGAACATGGTAAGTCATATTGTTTATGTCAATAGTAGGTGAATTGCTGCCATTACAGTCGAGCACGAAGCCAGGATACCCGCAGGGGATGGGATCTTCACGTCTCGAGAAAGGGTATTGGATTCCAGAAAGAGTTTTACAGGTGAAGGAAGCAGTGCAGGTGTCTTGAGATATGGATTCATGCAGGCGGCTTGAATTAGCTTGTGATTCCACGATTGGAAGCAGCAAGGTTATTACTGTGATGATTAGAGACGATGGAAACCAAGAATGCAATTGGGAGTTCATCAGGAATGTATTAGATCAACGGTTTCATACCTCCGTTGTTAAATTCATGAAGGTCTATATCTAGTTTCTTCAACATTATGCACCTAATTACCCAACTAACTCAACCAAATTCGAGTAGCTATTATAGGTCATGTTTTGGTAGGAATTTGTTGACTTTAGTTGTATAAAATATTTGACTTCTTAGTAAATTACAGGATGGGATACACTAACAGACAGCTGCTATTAGTTTTACATACAAATGACAAAAATTAAACCCAACAAGGCACAGCTACAAGCCCATTAAGAATTACAAATAGAAACCAAATAAGATTCCCAAGCATAGGCCCATTTCCAATGCTCCATACTCCATACACACCAAAAAAAGCAACCACAAACAAGATGAATGCATGTGATCATGAAAAAAGTGATTGGCCATTTACCACCAACGAAATCTTGGGAGAGGTAGTTACAGCAAGAGCAAAAGATGGATCCTTTTTTCCTAATATCATGTGATTCTTTATTAAAGAAATCATCATTATAGGCTTTAATTTGGCTTTTAGAATCATGGAAGATCAACACTAACATTTTGAATCTGCTTCTTTTCCAGCATTTCAGAACATATCTGCCCCATCATGTGATAGAACAAATTTAGATCAGATAACTGTTCAATTGTCATCTTCCCCATCACAGCTCTTGCCAATTTCTCTCTTTCTTCATTCAACTTCAATCTCTCCATGTATGAAGATGCGTTCCTAACTGTTGCTCCCATCTGCTTCAGTCTGTTCTCTTGTTGCAAACTCAATGCTGTATTTGACTGATCAAACCAAATCCAATATCCCATCATCAATCAATCACAAAAAGAACGAAAAAACCGACTAGATTTTGTTGTAATGAATTATTTCATACCTCAAGAAATTCTGCTCCTGGTTTGAGATCAGACTCTTTTGGTTGACGAATACTGGATCCTCCTTCGTATAGGTTTCTTGCAAGCGAGAAGCTACGAGCGATAGCCTTTCTTTTTTGCTCCAACTCTTTATCAAGTTTTAGAGATTTTGGTACCTTTGTTGTGTTATTGATCTTCTTTTGATATGCCACCACTGCCTTCACAAATTCCTGCAACCATTTGACAAGTAATTCAGTATATATATGATAGCCTAAAAATCCCTTATTTTGAAAAGAGTTCATGAAGAATGAAACAATGGTTTAATTCTACCTTATAAGCAGCAGTGCATCCAGGATAATCGAATTCATCTGAATTTGGTTTCCTCATTCGTTCAGGATGAAACTGTAAACCCATTATAAACTTACCCTCTTTTGGATTATAAGCATCCGGATCATAAAATCCTTCGATTAAACCATCTGGTGCAAACGCCATGGGCTTAAAACGTTGTGCTAGCCTCTTGACTCCTTGGTGATGATAACTATTAACCTGAATCTCCATTTTGTCTTCTAAAGAATCCTTAAACCATTGATGCAAAGGGGTGTCCTCTACGATGGAAACCTCATGCCGATGCCCATCGTAATTATCGTAATCCATATGAATCACTTTGTTCTCTTTAGGGCAAGTTTTGGTTAGTTCTTTACCAATATCTTGGTAAAGCGTACCCCCACATGCTACATTCAAGACCTGAGACCCCCTACATATTCCCAAATAGGGTATGTTTCTTTCTAGGCAGAGCTTGGCGAGTGAAAGCTCTATTGTGTCCTTTTCTTTATCAATGGCGGTGTCGCTGACGTGCACCCGCCGGATCTCCTCCAATTCTTCAGGGGAGAGATTGGTTTCTTCATCTTCGTACAACGACGGATCAATATCTTCTCCTTCGCATAGAAGGACTCCATGGATCGGCTCAAAGCTGTGCAACAACGAATGAACCCCCGTCACCCGAGGTACAATCACCGGAACGGCTCCATAGCCGACTATAAGATCAAGATGATATTCGCCTAATTAAACGAATAAACGAAATAAACTGATTAATTCATCGACAATTATTCATGAAAAATTTGAAATCAACAAGAAAGCACAATGACATTCGTAAAGAAAACGATTCCAGATCCGTTAATCCGGTGAGAATTGAAGGAAATCAAATGATACGTACCGACGAAATCAACGAATTTGTTCTTGCGAAGGCTCCGTCTAGATACGATTATAACGCGAGGCAAGAGGACGGCGAGATCGGAAGTTGACATGGCAGTGTTAGAGGTAGAGATGAAGGCGGAGGGTATGGGTATGGTTATGGCTATGGAGTTTGGTGATGACATGGAATGTATATATAGGGAGGGAGGAGGACGTGGAAAGATATGAGGGTTTGTTAGGAAGACACGTGATATGCGAAACGACTCGGGAGGGTCAAAAGTCAAAACTGAGGGGGAGTATGACGTGGCAGCCTGGCAGGTATATATATATATATATTTGTATAACTAATTATACCACCGGTGGAGGCTTTATCCGTTTATGCCTTTGCCTCTCTACTTCAATCACCAACAAATCGTCCTTTTCTATTTGTATACGACATTTTATTGGGATTTCAAAAACTTTTTGTATTTTGTATTGTGGTTCTGTATTTCATGTCGGTTTTCAAATTGATGAGAATTTATAATCATATTGTAATTTATCAGAGTGTGTTTGGTATCCAAACAAAATATAACAAATAAAACAAGATATGATTAAATATGATATGGCAATTGTTAAGTGTTTGATAAGATTGAATTGAACATTATTGATAAAATAACTAATTTACCCTCATAACTTGTTTGTATATATATATATATATATATATATATATTATAGAAGGGTACTTGCGTAATACAGCAAAATACATCTTGATTTTAATATTTTATTTTATTTATTGTCTATGTCAATATTATAATACAACTATATGTGTTTTTAAGAAATTAATAACGATTTTATTTTTGAATAAAATGTAAATTTGGAAAAAAAATATATCAATATTAATATCAAGTCAATTATTTAGAAGTTCTCATTTTTTAAATAATTTTTTTAACTTAATTTTTTATTATAATTTTATTTAAGTTTAAAAAAAAGTAATTTATTTTTTATTTAATAATATAATATTTATAAAGATAATAATTAAAGATTATGTTAGAACCCAATGATTATCATAATCATATTCTAGATTTTTTTATATATTTAAAATAACATGTTTATCATATATTTGATTATGTTTATTTATAGTTCGTTACACGAATTCAAATATGAAACTTTAATAAGTTGTACTTACGCACAATCTATTTGTAATCTTGAGTTTTATGTAACATGCATTAATAAACAATATTTTATGCACAAAAAATAGTTTTTAAGAATTTTTATCAAATGTTTTATAATATAGTATATATATATATATATATATATATAATTTATGGAATTTGTTAAATTGTTATAAAATAAATATTTTTTACATATTAGGGGTGTCAAATATGTTCCATCACAAAGACACAAACCAACCTATTGCATTACTAACCATATCAATTAAATTTGGTTAGTAGTACTTTCTCTCCCAACTTCATAAACTTGATTGGTACGCAATATTTAAAACCGTTTACCATGGAAACATTGTACCATACCGACACAAGTTATTTTTAGAGGAATTTAACGTTTTATTGTTTAATGTATTATTTTTATTTACTCATCCATCCCTCCTCATAGCAACCTTAAACTCATTACTCAGTAACTCCTCGTCTTCTCCGGTTCTCATCTCCTCAATGCACACACTTCCATCGTTCGACGACCACATAATCTATCTCTCTACACGTTGTTTGAATGTTTTTGTTGTATTACTTTTGTTTTACTTATTGGACAACATGTTATGTTACTGAATATGTAACTTCAACTTTTGAGATGTTGGTACAAAACGTACCAACTGAAAAAAGTTAGTACCAAATAGTGTTGGGTGGTACACTATATAAATACTTGTGTACCAATTATAATTGGTTGGCACACAATATCAAGAAAAAAAAAAAATATGGTACCGTACCATGTTCACTCCTACAAAATATATCATTAAAAAAACTCGTCAAAACGATTAAAATGACACCAAAATATGAAGTTTATTAATTTTTGAATTTTATTGTATACATTCTCTATATTATTTTCTATTGTTAATATTTAATAAATTACATAAATTAACCATGATATAAAAAACGTATAAAAATAATATTTTGATAACAACAAAGTGAAAGTTTAAATATGATAAAATACGATAAATAAAATTTGAAGAATGGATAAATGTAAAGAGAGAGACGTATTTGAAGATAATTATGTTTTATTTTAAGGATATATTGGTAAAATATATGTTTCTTCCACCTTGTTCTAGAAAATCAGGGAAGAACACGTTTTTTTTCTTTTTGTTTCATCATTTTTCTGTCTGTTCCATATAAAAATTATGTCAAACTGAACAATAATTATTTTCAATTATATTCAATATATTTAACGCACCTTAAAATATAATCAACAAGTAGTTTTATTTATAAAATATATAAAAAAGGAAAAGATTTATTCCTTTTTGTACGGGTAATTTTAAATTTTGAAATGGGTATTATTTAAAAACCCTATCTCTATCATATAAATAATTTGTCCATAAATGGAAATAAACCAATGGTCAAGTATTAAGGGGTGTTTGTGATTGCTTATTTGAAAAAAATTATGTTTTTTTTACAAACGTTTTTATTAATTTATTATAACATAAAATAGTTTAACTTTTTCAAAAACTCCTTATTACCGATTTGACACTGGTATAAATCGTTTATCCAAACACTCAGAAGTGTTAATTAACGGTGCCACACTAGAATAAGTCAATAAGTTATTTTTACGAGCAATCCAAAACACCCCTTTAAGTAGGTAATGAACACCATTGATTGTCTTGATAATCTTCTTTTTTATCATCAATGTAATCCACTATCATTTAACATTTAATAGTTAATCCATATATCATACTCACAAACCAAATTCTAATTTTCCATCTTAAAAATATTAACATTTAATAGTTAATCCATATATCATACTCACAAACCAAATTCTAATTTTCCATCTTAAAAATATTAACATTTAATAGTTAATCCATATATCATACTCACAAACCAAATTCTAATTTTCCATCTTCAAAATATTGTTTGCCGTCTTACTCTCAATTATTATATTTGACATTATGAGGCTATTCGGAACCTTCTTTTTCTCGTTCAATTATTACATCCCGTATCATCGGGGCTATCCGGAACCATACAAGACCTTTATCTTAATTGTCATCGTTGTTTTTAATTAAAAGCGGAAATTTGTAAACGTTTTTCTCGCACTCTTAAATAAATATAATATATTTTTGAGTAAACTACAAGTTTGGTCCCTATGGTTTCTTGCTTATAACACTTTTGGTCCTTACAGTTTCAAAATTACAAATTAGTCACTATAATATGCAAAAACGATTGAATGTGGTCCCTTCCTCTAACAGACATTAAAAATTCATTAAGGGGAATTACAGACTTTTCTCTTTTTCCATTAATTTTGTTTAAGAAAATAAAGTAAATATATAAACTATATATATATATATATATGTGTATATATATATAATTTAAAGAGAAATGACAAAAAAATTAGAAAATGACCAAAATACCCTTCACTTAAAGGGTTCTTTTGATGGTTGTTAGATGGAGGGACCAAATCAGGTCGGTTTTTCATACCATAGTGATTAATTTGTAATTTCAAAACTATAAGAACAAAAAGTGTTTCAAACAACAAACCACATGGACCAAATTTGTAGTTTACTCTATCTTTTTTGCTGGATCTATTTTTAAAGTTTAGATCTATCCGTATTTATATATAAATACCAATATATAATTTGAACCAAAGTTTATATATTGACCGTTATAATTTACGAGATTTATTTGTAATCAAGCACTTATTTGGTTTTATTATGATTATACAAATGTTTAAAATTAAATTTTGATGGCCAAGGTGTTAAAATATTATAGTAAAAAGCTTTAAAAAGTAAAGTTGTTTTGCTAATGACATTGCACTTTGTTGACTCTTTGATCATAATCCTCCTTTGTTGTTGACCGTAACGTTTAATTTACTAGTTTCTCCCCCTAGTTTAATTAAATTGCAAAATAGACCCTATATTTACAGCTACTTGTTCATCTAACTGCTTGTTGATCTGTATAAACCAAGCAAAACCCATATGTGTTTTATTGTAGGCTTCACATTCAAGGATAAAGTAGCCATTTCTTATTTGTCAGCTTGAGAAAATAAGGAAAAAGAAAGTCAAGAAAAACTAGAGAGGAAATACTTTGAAAACATGTTATTATCAGAAAGTTTTGGGTTGGTAATGGATGTAATCAAACCACAAGGGGGTCTAATGAAATTTTCTGAAACATGTTTTTGGCCAGTCGAGGTCATGAAAGGCCAATATTTCTTACAATGTATTGGTGCATTTTGCGTCATGTATTTTTTTTTGGAAAATACGACATATTATTGATAGTCGACGAAAGTGTATTAATTTACAATCTAATTTTAATTATATAATCATTTCATACAATATTTAAAGTAGTTTCTTGTATAATATTTGTACGTTTTTCAAGATTTACATTTAGGATAAGGAACCCTACAAATTGCCGTGACCTTTTTGGCACCAGGGGAATTGACATATTTCCCAAAATTTGGGTCCTTAATGTAACGACACAAGCATGCCTTCTGCTCCTTAAGCTTGCTACAACACTTTGACGATGGTGTTGTTCCTTTAACGATTGGATCCAGGCACGACACTAACTGCGTAGGGTCACATGTTGCCGCTTTGATCTGGGTCACCCCAACAAACAATGCCATCGCCAATAATGGAAGTGCAACAATGGGTAACAATTTCATCTTGAAATTTAAATTTGGATATTTTGAACAACATAACGAAATCATATTATATATATATGTTTGAAGTGTTTACTTGTACGAATGAACTTCATTAAATTTCATTCATAACGCATGGGCAATTTTGGTCTACGAAATAAGAAAGACATAAAACAATAATACGTGTCACACGAAGTGGAAGACCATATGATCTTCCTTTTTCAAGTAAAATAAAGAGTTCAAGTTTTAATTAATTATTTTTTAATATATGATATTTTGAGGGTCTAAAATAATTACTGGATTTATATAATGTTTCTTGTTACAAGTAAGATGAAAAATAAAAAAGATATGAATCA